CACAAGGATGCAGAAACCAGATATGCGCCACATAAATCATTCGATTTATGTGAGGGCTAGGATACTGCCCGGGTGCCCAAACCGAAGCAGAGAATAGGATAAAGAGTGAATGCATATGCGCTAATGTGAACGATTCTGAGCCATGTCACTTAAAGTTTCCAACCAACGATCGAGGTTATTATTCGAATACTAACCAAGTAGTTGGGAATAAGAATATTTATAACTTAAATTTATCGTAACTAAAAATCATAACTGGAATTTGAAACTACAACCAACGAAAGTATTACAATAACAATTTATCAATTAGATCGCTTTGCATTTGCGTCTGTTAGTATAACAAAAGAAGAACTACAGTAAAGATAGAATACCATTTAAATTATTATGAAATTTATTTGATAAACATAACAACGAAAATATCCATCACAATTCCAAATTGCACACCCATATAACTTGGCTTACAAATACAAAATATCAAAAACTTTACACGAGGAAAATCAACTGTATCATATTTCTTTTTGCTTAATGTAGACTTGACCATAGTTAAGTTAGTAGAAGGCAATTATCTTCATTATCTTGACTTCCTTTTATATTCCCCTCAATGACTAAGTTTGATAATCTCAATGTTGTAAGTGTTCGGATTTCTGATAAAGTTATGGAACAGATATAGTAAGACGTCAACTGCATTTTTCGGACGAAACAGATCATACTTTACATGAATACTTAAAAAACAAGCGAAAATTTTCATATGCATGTGATCTTTATACGTGAGGCAAACATCTTGAGGATATGATAGATGAGGAAAACTACAAGGCGTATAAACTGGCATGTACAATGAAATTTTCCTGCGTTTAGTTAAGTATAGATTAGCTAGAACGCCTATTTCTTGAAGAAGATTGACTGTATAGGCAAACCACTAAAAAACTGTACCATTGCAGAGAATTGAAATATGATAGGAATTTGGTCTTACTAAAGATTGGGAGTGATGATATTATTCTCTTGAATGGTGATCACTTGAGATAATAGTCTTTTTTTAAAGAGTAAATTAAAAGGAGTTGTTCCAAAAATCTCCACATTACGTTTCACGCTACAATATCACATTATCGTAGTTGAAATAAGTTAACAAACAGATCTCTTTTGACTCCGGTAGTCAATTAATAGAAAACTACTGTATACTTGAAGAAAACTAACCTCTACTGTATGGGCCACAAGAAATCATTGATCATTTACATATTCATGACATAATGATGACCAATAAAGCTTATTATTAACGCTACTCCACTTAATAAATTCATAATTTTACACATAAAGAAATACATCGTCTATGAGAAAAAACGTTACTTTTACTGTGATGAAACACTAAAAATTATATGATCACTTCCTAAGATCGATTATTTGAGAATTCTTACGTTAACATGATGTATCATTAGCCACTATAAAGATTCTTAAAATTGTAAAATTCACTTTCAAATTAGTAAGATATACCGTTTAAATTAACAAGCTGATAAACCGACAACCTTAAATTAAGAAATCAGTACTATTCCCCGAGGTGGATGTTTAATACACCTATGGATATGGTTTATATATGTGTGCATTTAACTCGTATGTTGTAAAAATTAAGTTAATTCACCTTCTCAATGCAGCATCTAGCTGAAAGATGATACTATGCAACGAAGCCCGATGATTTCCTGATTTTCGATGTAATCTGACAAAAAACTGTGCCACACGAACACCAGGTATGTCATCATCATTGAGAATGACGAACCACCCCCAACACTACTCAGCATTGCGCGTCATGGTAATCGGTGCTCAGGCATACGCAGCACGTGGTCCAACTATCTCAGTCGATGAAGATTCACAGCCTCATCAACTGATTTACCATCATTACCTAATAACCTGCGTATAACCTCACCATTACTTACCCGGTGATCCCAGCAGATTCGAGCAATATTTCTAAGGCATCTGTGGTCAAATACTAGTAGCTTACGAGTATCTTCTCTTAATGGCCACGTTTCGCAGCCGTAAAGTAGAACAGAACAAACTGCCGCGCAGTATACTCGTCCTCTTATTGATAGACGGATATCTCGCCTTCGCTATAGTTGACGTAAGTTCGCAAAAGCCAAACGAGCTTCTCGAATCCGTGCTGAGATTTCGTCAGATACCAACCCATTAGGGCTGATCAGACTTCCAAGATAAGTGAAGTTGTCAACGCGTTCGACTACTTCACTCTCTACCCTTAGTTCAGGTGTTGACAACAATTCACATTTGGAGGGGGAGAAACGCATCCCAGACATCCTGGCATTGTTGCTCAGTACTACCAAAAGACTGCATTTTATCAGCGTCTTCACCGAACAGGACTATGTCATCTGCATATTCTAATTCGATAAATGGGCCTCCCGGTGGATCAATTCCTGAAAATTCGGACGATGACAACGTTATTTTAAGCACTAGGTCTATGATTAAATAGAAATAGAGATCGTAAATAGCCCTGTCGGATATCACTCGAGGTTGCGGAATCAGATGACAGTTCGCCATAAGCTCTGACTCGACTAGTGTTAGAGTAAAAAGTCTTCACAAGGTTTTATGTACTTCTGAGGTACGTCTTTTAATGTCAGATACTGCCACAGAACCTCTCGCTCTACAGAGTCAAATGCTGCCTTTAAGTCAAGAAAAACCATCATTGTCGGACGCTGATAAGCATACTTGTGTTCGAAGGCCTGACAAATGGCAAATGTGTGGTCGGTGCAGCCACGACCAGATCTGAAGCCAGCCTAAATTTTTCGTGTTTGCAGTCCACGAGTCTTTGCTAGGCGTGGAAAGGAAATTGAGTTAGAGTTAATCTTAGTGATCTGAGAGCGCGACCACAATGCCCAAGGGACAACTGCTTGAGGCCAGTCACACACTTTTTTGTAGGTAGTTTTAGTGTTAGCTTTGCACTTGTTGAGACCTCACCCCACGAGCATCCGTGGGTTAAGGCGAGTTATGCATTCTTAGGGTCGACCCTTTATAACTCCACCCTTCCTTTGTAGAAAGGTTTCATCGCTATCATGCTGGTTGTCTGACGGAGACACCTTAATGCCGTCACACTCCTCTACAGTCAGCAGTACGACTTCACTCTCGAACCTTGAGTTTGCTGCTTTTTGTCATATCGCTCTTCAACCGACCTACCTGGCATTGTAGGGCCTTGAGGGCCGATTGGTTCATCATGATAGGTAAGCCCGACCACTACGTTAAGGTGACAGTAACTGTCGGGAATAAGTTAGGAATGGTCAATCGTATAGCAGTAACCAATAGGTCAAATAAAAGAGATATGAATATATATAGTCTAATTATCTAATAATTACCCAATAATAATAGTCCATAAATAATTCCTAGTAGTTACCATTGCTTTATTCTTTGTTCGGGTATAACAAAAATATATCTCGATGTGGAACCACTCAGAGTCACACTAAGTCGTTTCTAGCCAACTAGTGCGGTGGAATGATTAGTTGAATCTAGAAGAGATAGTCTTATTCCTCTGATTTTGTCTTCTTTCTCTCAAGGATTGCTTTATTTTGAGTAATTATTAGTCATAAATACATTGAAAATTCCCATCGCCTTATTAAAACATAATCTACCTTAAAAGACTACAATATTTCAGTCGCATTAAAAATATTTATATTTTTAATTTCCTAAACCAATTCCAGTGAATCTATGGTTTTTAATACTCAATATTCTAGGTTAACGCAATAGCTAATATGGGCGTTGGCGGAGGTGTTGAAAGTCCAGCTTATTATGAAAACGTTCAATATATGTTCTTAAATATACAAAATATACACGCAATGCGAGCTGCATTGACAAAAGTTTTCGAGGCCTGTTTTCCATTACCAGACGATACACGATGGTTTAAGCAACTGGCTGACTCTAAATGGCTTTATCATATTAAACAAATTATTTTCGCCGCAACCAGTGTAGCCGATAAAGTAAGCTAGATTTGTAATCTGCAATATAGGCTTGATGCTATGTTTAGTGGTATAAATTATTGACACTGAGAATCTTTAAATTAAATCGTGACTTAATATTTTATTTTTCCGTTAAAATCTGATTATAGATTGAAAATCATAAAACATCTGTGTTAATACATTGCTCAGACGGTTGGGACCGGACAACTCAAGTTACATCTTTAGCAATGTTGATGCTAGATCCGTACTACCGTACAATACGCGGATTTGAAGTATTAGTCGAGAAAGAATGGTGTTCTTTTGGGCACAAATTCGCACAGCGCACAGGTGGACCTACCGATGGTGGGATTTATTTGCCTCCCAACTCATCAAGTTCTGTTGTTAATGAAACTGGTGGAGGACGGCCATCAAGTCCTGAGGAGCGTTCCCCAGTATTTTTACAGTTCATTGATTGTGTGTGGCAGACGATGCAGCAATTTCCTCATTCATTTGAATTCAACGAACGATTTCTCATAACAATAATGGATGAGTTATATTCTGCGCGATTCGGAACATTTCTTTTCAATTCAGAAATGCAAGGACGCGACCATGGTGTACGTGAAAGGACTATTTCATTGTGGGCATATATCAATGCAGATATCCAGTTGTATCAAAACCCACTTTATACTCCTGCTGAGATCAGTGGTCATCGTGTGATTTTTCCTCAGCATGCATTAGCTCAGCTTCAATTTTGGACAGCTTACTACATAAGATGGCATCCACTCATGCGTTTACAAGAGCCCATAGCACGTCGAGAGAGAGCCTTAATATTGATAATGAAACGATTCAGGGAACTTACAGCTGCCACGCAACGTGAATGTGCTAAACCAACTCTCAATAATGTATCTGATAACTCAACACACAGTAGGTCCCATTCAAATAGTTCAAAGATCTAAAAATGTACCCTTTAGCAAATAGCTGATAAACAATTTCTTAATTCGCCAACTTCTAAGACACAAACAACCGAAATGTGATATTATCTTTTATCTCTTTTTACATAATCTAAAATTGATTTTAACTCTTAATACAAAACTGCTACTAGAGTAACTTATTTTTTGGTATTTGGTCATCCCAAAAAAATGTGCTACACCGGGCAGCTGGATTGTCTGAAGCGCCTTGAGGGCGTGCACAAACCCAAAACCGCCTGCCGACTCGACTACCTTTAGTTGCTTTTAAATTTTTCACAGTCCTCATGACGCAAGGTTCTTTGTGGCCAAGGCATACAGGAGGTTTCTTCGGCCCTGAAAAAAGATTTCGCCATGCTTCAGTTGACTGAGCTGTTTGAGATGGGTCGTAATTTTTTCTTTGGAGAGTTTCAGTCGTATTCTCTTTACTTGAAAATTGATCATGTATACGTGTAGCCGTCTCTATTGGTATAGACTCTGATAAAAAACACAGCGTATGAATTAACTGATAATACAGCAGTTTTTTTCATTAAATTATCAAAATTGTTTTAAGTAATATTGGATTCGGTTATCAAGTGTATTTAAATATATCTACGGTTACTCTTTATCTGTGCAACTCAAATAGTAGCGAAATGGAGAAATTACTGTTTGATAGAAAATAACTAATTAGATCCCCAAAAATAAGATTCTTCGTCATAGGCATATAACAATCACAAAAATGAGTCAAGGACATTATCTGATTTTCACCTGAGAACTTAATGAACAGTGTTTAGACTAACTTACCCCTGAAGGTGATTTTCGTTTGCCTGAAAGCGAGACGTTTCTCTTTGGAATGCGAATTTCTTACACAGGATACGGAAGCTTGTGTGTCATGAGAAGTAAAAGCTTGTTTAGTTACTTTGGAATGACTCTTTGACATTACGAAGCTCTCTAAGTCCATTTGCTTTCTCTGACATTGGGGCCAGTAATGAGAGCATTTAGGTGGAAATGAATAGGAAAAAATCAAATCTGAATTGTAAAAATATGGTAGATCTGCATATATTGGGCAATGATCAGATCCATTTATATGTGACATCAAGTCTGCTTGTATACTGTTATCTGATATGGTGGTGATAATCTCCACAAGTTTCATGTCGAATAAAATATAATCCAGTCTGACTCCATAATTTGTTTGACGAGCATTCGTACGCGACGACCAACATGTAAAAGCATTTTCTCGACGAGGATGGAGTAGCCTAAGTCATAATCACATAAAGTGAAGAAATTAAACAATATGTTAAGTCCAAAGTGACTACTATGGATTAAAACGCCATCCAACTTAATTAAACTACATTACTAAAAAGTGCGAACGATTCGCATTTTTACTCGATATTTTGGAAGTCATTCATGAGCTCTCAAAAGACTAAAATATTTGTTACTAGAACGCTTCTAAAACTCCTAGAAATCATTTATTTAAACGGCACAGTTTATATTTAAAATCGCACAACAACTAGTGATTTATTTGAGTGGTACTATTGAGTCCAAAGGTTTTGGGGACTACACAGACACTAACTAGGGCGATTTCAGACCCATGTATTTACTTGGAACAACCTTACTCATCATATGCAATGATGATTTTCACAAAACACTCCAGTTTGTTGAATTACTTTATGTTTTTAGTGTTTATAGAGCTAATAACTCGTCTGGTTTCGGTAGGTTGCCTTAAAAGAAAAATCTTTCGGGAGTACCTATGGACTAACCACTTCATAGATTTTTATTTCGGTATACCATATATAACACAACTAATAACGAAGTAGCCATCCCAATTATTCACTTTACAATCTATATAAAATTAGTCGATATTTTATCGGTTATAGTCTCTGTAAGAAAACACACACTAGAACGAGAGGCCATCACCACTTTTATGTAATTTATGGAAGAATGATTTACTCTATCTAGAGTAATCTGCTTTTAGGAATAAAAGAGGCCGATTAATGGGTGCTTATTCATAATAGTTTGAGTTTGTTTATATGGCGTGAGCTTGAAAATATTTATGCAAGAAATGTTTCTAGAAAAATATAGTCTACTAATTTTCTGTATCCTAAATCCTACTTCTTATCAGTGATTTCCCATTCCCAACCAATACAATTCTCGTTAGGCGTATGTCTACCCGTCTTTTCCTTTGCTGTTTCGAGTCATGTCAGTTTCAAATTATATATTTTCGTGTAAGGTTCTATACTAGTGTGTCTTTCTACTGTATGCGTCTAATTTCCTATGACTATAAGTGTAGATTGGAATTAACTGGCCATTTCTTACAAAAGTAACCACTTTAAACGTAATAGCATAGTAATAATAATTCGAAATTTACTTTTGAAAAACCTGGTAATCACCTGAAGATATCCACGAATCTTCTTAAACCAACACTGATTTGAGTATTAAGACTTAGATCTTGCTGTTCTTCAATCAACAACCGATCAAACCACTGGCGAAAAGATTTTGAAGACTCATCCATCTGAATAGTACACGAAACAAAATTTGCATAGCTTTTTCAAATAACTCAAACTTATGTACCAATTGTATCTAGAGTACTTAGAACAAAGCCTCAACTAACAAGGTAGTTCTAACGTTGACATATGCTTAGCTATTATCATGGTCATAAAATAACGATTGAAATCTGGGGCTCTTCATTCAAGAGATCTACTTAATAGTTAGTGTATGTTTAAATTCGCTGTTTGTTATGATGGGATGACTTTGTTTCAAGACAGTTTTAGGTGTGTTGAAAGTTGTCAGTTATGGAAGCTTAATGGTATTTTAGTGTACAATTGTTAGTCATGTAGACATATTTAAACTTTAGTCGTACCAATTAAGGGTTATAAGATACGTAACGTTTAGCTTGTTTCATGAGTTTCACACCAATCACACACAATTCAAATTTAATCGAAGTCTGGTTTCCCTGCCAATAAATGTATTTATCACTTTATATATAAGTTGGGAAGACTAATTTCTACAACTAAAGACAGGTTTTGGCTGTAATTTCCGCGCATATGGTTAAAAGTCTCTTTGAGGGATTCATACCTTTTTTTATTACGGTGGCATCTTACTACTTAGCTAAGATAGTGTATGAATACTGAAGCATCTGACAAATTAAAAGGCATAAGATTTCAAGTGTGCTCTGATTTTTTCTATCAAACATAAGCGATCTGATGCATGTTCGGTATAACTTCTTACAGTTAAGTTATTCCTCAATTTTCTGCTTATCACTAATCTGTTGGAATTCGTCCACTTTGTCTTCCATTACTTTTATTTTTATCCGCTATTTCGATATATATTGAGCTTAATTATTATTGTTTTGATAAAGTTCGAGTGAACAATGAAACCACTCAGTTTCTAATCTTCAAATCACAGGTTCACCACCCATAACACTTAGTTCGGTTTGAGATCTTGAGTAGTATTACTAACTTTAACACAAACATCATGCCTTAAGACAAAATAGAAGTACTTGGCATATAAATTAAATGTTCGTAATTACGATTATCACACTTAGTTGACTTACAATAAATTCGTCTGGAGCACAATGATCGATCATTTTGTGACAAATATTAAAGTCCCCAGCAATAACTACGTTGCTGAAATATTACAGACTGAATAAACGAATAGCCTACTTTTCTACTAGAAGTGATTCAATGCAAAGTTGTACAGCAGACTGGAAAAGATGTTTGTAATTCAAACGTTCAACGTTTTCTGGATTTAACCTGGGAAAATATATGGACAACACAATCAGCGGTCGCTTTTCGTCTGGAATTCGAAAGGGGGTAAATATATCAGTAGAAAACTGGAGACCCAGTACTCTTCCTTCTGCATCCAAGTTACGAGCTTCAGTATGAGTGATATTTAGTTTCGTTTTGAGAAAACTCCATCCATCCGTTGAATTATTTCGGCAGGAAATGGATTCGACAAGTATATCATTTAAGTTATGAAATGTTTTAGTTGGCTTGAGAGGATTACGACAAAAAACCGCAGTACCTATTGTGTTGATTAAGCAACGACAAACATACCTGAATATCCTGTCTTGTGTATACTATGACTAAAATAACCATTGTAATTATCCGCAAGTGCGAATTCCCTACTTATGTCAGCTTGCATTTCAAAGCATCAACCAATAACATAAACATACGTGTGGTTTTAGTCTCCTGAATACAAATTATATCAGATTTAAGAGAATCTAAAGTAGTTTTCAACGGATGTTGAATAGAGCGCAACCCATTTATATTCCATGAACAGATGCGAACAGGATTCATAGGAACTTAGATGTACCTGAAAAGGTGTGTATAATCACTAAACAGAACTTATGAATCCGTGTTTTTCTTTTAGTAAAGCACATGATTTACCAAATGTTTTATTTAGTACACTAAAATCAGTAGTGCTGAAATTATACATTGTGAGAATTTCTGAGCACCCAGTCTACCTATTTCGAGGGAAATGTCCGTTTTTGGTACATTCTGGGTGAGCCAAAATAGAAAACTTTAGGGGAATGGCACAAAACCACCAAATTTTTTACAGGTCTGGGGAGAATCTCCAAAGTTTTGGGTTTTCCCCAATATTTCCTTAGGATCTTATAATGCGTTGGGGAAAACTCCGAAACTGGGCGCAGAATCATATTGCCAATAAAATGAATGGTTAACTATACATATTTGTATTTGAACACATCCGTTTAAAATAGGTTGGATGCCGAGGGTTTGGTATTTATTATATGTTGAGCAACTTGACGATACTAGATACTTATTCAATCAGTCGCAACGTATGTAAATCTCAATTGTTGAGATCATAAGTCAATTGAAGCTAGACCACCATGGAAAACCTGGAAGCACTATATATATTTGTATATTTTGCCATACCCCGTCAGCACAGAGGGATGAAATCGTTAAACCGAATCCCAGAATAATAAAGGTTGTAACACCATTAGTGCTAATAGAAAACGCCAAACATTAGATCCAAGCAACGGTTCGATGTCATTGTCCATTAATAGAGGTCGCTGAGCTCTTGAAGGTCAAACCGTCGTAAGACCATTGGTGCATCATCGACAATTTGTAAGTTTCTCCAGAAGCGGTAAAATCAAAATGGTTCCAATAGTTCAGACTGTCATCAATCTTAAGTTATAAGGATAGTGGGTTGGTGAACCTGTATTAAACCTAACACATTGCTTTCCAGTGAAGGTTCAACTTCTCTATGAAAATCTTCATGATGGGGCTGATACCACTTGTTCGGGTAAGGCGTTCCAGTCATTGACCACTTTATGAGAAAAACGGGACCCCACTTTAAGTTTATTAGATCATAGTTTATGAACCTTCTTGCTATGACCTCGGAGATCAATAGTGCTGGAGGGGCAAAAAGATAAGAAATATTGACACCCAAATCATAATTAAAAATACAAAATGCTAGCATAAGGTCACCTCGTGTCCTACGATACGACAAAGAGAAAAGGTTTAGGCGTTTTAAACGCTCATCGTAAGGGAGTCTAGAAAGACCCTTCACTAATTTCGTTCCCACAGGTTAGACACGCTCAGGTAACTTAGTGTCCTTTACCAGACATGAGCTAGCTGCTTGGATACAGTACTCTAAATGTGGTCTTACATATATGGGATATAAAATTCGAAACGTTTCCTCGTCAAAAGATTTGAACACTCGGCGAAGTGACCATGACGCACAATAACCTTTGGCAGCAGCTGCAATGCAATGAGTAGTTGTTTTCACTCCGTGACTTATTATTGCTCCTAAGTCTTCATGTTCTTGAACGCATGGAAGAGATGTACCATCAATAGTATAGGGGTAACTATTACTGTGTCCGATGTACATGAGCACACTTCCTGGAATTAAATTCTAAGCCCCAACCTCAAGCCCACCGAACTAATTCATCCAGGCCAGTTTGGAGATTAAAATGGTCAGCCCCACTTCTTATTGTTCTCCAGATCTTGACATCATCCGCAAACAATAATGTCAACGACCTAAGCAACGGCGGTAACTCGTTAACGTAGGGAAGGAAGATCAGAGGGCCTGAGATGGTGTCTTGGGGTAAAACTTTTGACCGGCCTCCAATCGGATAGCGTTCCGTTGACCCTCACTCTCTGTCTGCGGGCATATAAGAAGTTTCCTATCCACTCATGTACAGTACCTATTATTCCGAAGCTCGTGAGCTTCTGCATAAGACCTACGTGTGAAACCTTGTCAAATGCTTTGCTAAAATCTTTGAATATCACATCGACAGACAGACCTTCATCTAATGCTGCTGTCCAATCCTCTCTCTTAATGAGTAAGTTAGTCAAGCATGAACGCTTGTTACGAAATCCGTGTTGCTCAGGAGCGAACAGATTGTAAATCTATGTGGCTTAGCAACCTACATTGTTGTATTTTGGTTACATTTGAATTGTTAACACTTGTATTTTTATTATAGTTTTGTTTTTATTACGCATTCACTAAGTTTGTGTTTCTTCCTGAACTGCATCTGTGTTGTTTTACTTGACACTTGTTCTTGGCGGTAGCCATATTCATTTGTTCCTCCTGTTGTGTGTGATCTATCCAGTCAGGATAGAATAACGTTCATTTGTTGTAACTGGTGATTTTTCCTCATCTTCTATCAACTTCTTTATTTATTGTAATTTAGATTTGATTGATTGAACAATCATTGGTTGAATAGCCGGGTGGTAATATTTGTTTAGGTAACGATTTACATTTAAATTTATGATGAATTATAAAACCGCTATTTACCCGATTACTTGTTTTGATTTCGACGGGAAAGGGCGCGTGTCTCAAGTCCCCGGTCGGCTATTCTTCAACATCCAAACCGTAGTTTGGATTTTACAGTTCTAAACAATTATTACTTGGCCGAAATCCTTTGGTAATCGTTCGCGGATTTTCTGGAAATAGTTGGTCGTTTCGCTTATAATGCCAGTTAATCGTCGAAGGAAATCAAGCTCAAAGTTCGTCGATGTTAATGAAGAATCCCCTATTGTCAGGCAAGTGCTTTTTGACGTCCTTAATGGTCATGGTTCAGACTCAAATAGGGTTGATTATCATGGTAGTGATTCTAGTCTTAATTCGATGTCAGATGACGTAAAAAATCTTAGTTTAAAGGAGAAGCAAAGGCCTGAATTACCAGGAAAGAGCATATTGCCTATAGTTCATGTTGTTGGCCCAGAACTACCAAAGGTTGAACTGAGTTATTTCGATGGAGATCCAAGAGGATACTGGAAGTTTATAAGGCGATTTGAGACGTATGTAGCATCAAGAGTCACGGATGATAGCCAGCGCTTGCTCTATTTGATACATTATTGTAAGGGCAAGGCTAAAACAGCTATTGAAGGTTGCGTCATGATGAAGGCATCCTCTGGCTATAAAAGAGCAAGGGAGATTTTAAAACGTTTTTTCGGACAGTCTCACGTAATTGCTCGAGAAACACTAGAGGACTTATTCAGTGCTGTGAATTTTGAGTATATTGACGGGGACCAACTATCAAACTTGGCTATTAAAATGAAAAACTGTACTATGGTCTTGGAACAGATGAATTATACTTCTGATCTAAATTCCTTAGTTACTTTGGAAAGAATAGTGTGACTCTTGCCTCAACCTATGCAAGCCCAGTGGGCGGACTGGGTGGACAAATTGACTGAAGATAACAGGGAACCGACCTTCGACGAGCTCACTCAGTTTATCGCATCGCGTGCGAGAGTGGCTTGTAGTAGATTTGGACGGTTAGCAAACCGTTCAAGTAAAGGGCACAACGTAAAGACGAACTGTCACGTGCAATCAGAGCAAGGGAATAGTTCGACAACGAAAACTAAATGCAGTATGTGTTCCTACGACCATGCCATTGATAAATGTCCACAGTTCTTAGCGCTTACAGTGCAAGACCGATGGTCTCACGCTAAAAGCAAGGGTACCTGTTTCGTCCGTCTTAGACAAGGACATAGAGTTAAGGAATGTAAGCTGACAAAGCGTTGTAACGTTGAGGGTTGTGAAAAGAAACACCATTCTTTGTTGCACAGCGAGAGTGAGAAACCTGGTATCTCGAATTGTTGCGGATATACTAAATCACTAATCATTCAAGTGTGTTTAGGCATGATTCCCGTACGGTTGAGATCGCGAAAGGACGAGATTGTGGGTTATGCTCTGTTGGACAACGGTTCTGATGTGACACTGATAAAATCAAACTGTTTGAGGTCTCTCGGGCTGAGCGAAGACGAAGCATCAGTGGTAGTTGAGACTGTGGGCGGTAATAGAACAATGAAGGTCACGAGTGTGCCTTTTGGGGTATATTCTTCAGATCGATCTGAACATGTTACGATTGAAGGAGCTCTGATTGTGGCAGGTATACCAGGTCATAAGCCAACAAAGTCAGCAATGAACAACCTAGTTAAGTGGCCGCATTTAAGTGATGTGCCAATAGATAGCCTAGATTCTGAAGAAGTTTTACTGTTGATTGGTTGCGACGTACCAGAAGCACATTGGGTGTTAGACCAACGGTTGGGTGGAAGGAAGGTCCCGTACGCTGTGAAAACGTTGCTGGGGTGAACGGTTTTCGGACCTGCGTCGTATTCGGAATATAGGAAAAGAGTTGTTAATCATACTAGTAAATTACAGACTTTGGAGAACGAAATACGTAAACTTTATGATGTAGAGTTTTCTGATGTTTATTCAAGTGATAAATCATTATCAGTAGACGACAAGGTGGCTATAAAGATTGTGGAAGGTGGCACGCACTTCGACAACGGTCATTTTGTAGTTTCTATACCGTGGAAAAAGAATCCAGATATGAAAGTGGATAATTATGAAGTAGCAAACCGTAGATTACAAAGTTTGAAGGGTATGTTGTCGAAGGATCACAGTCTGCACATCAAGTATATCAAAAGTACTGAAAGTGATTTTACTAAGACTTATGCGGAGAGGGTCTTTGAAATATATCTGCAGTCTTATTATCGCCCTCGATAGTATTTACCTCATCATGCAGTATTAAGCATGAAAAAACCAGATCTTAGAGTGGTCCTTGATTGTACCGCCCAGTTTGCAGGGGTTTCCCCAAATGATATGATTTATCAAGAACCCGATACCATCGCTGAGTTAAGGTGTATATTAATAAGTTTTCGCAAGGAGGCAGTTGCAATCCCTGCAGATGTTGAAGAAATGTTCATGCAAGTGAAGGTCCCTGAGTCTGATCGAGGAGCTTCAAGATTTCTGTGGTGGCAGGAGGGAGACATTTCGAGGGAACCATCCGAGTTTCAAATGACATCCCATCCATTTGATGCCA